CGCTGCGACTCTCGTCCCGCAGTTTTCAAGCTATTTCAACAAATCATAAATCCAAATGTTCAGCTCTTTCAGCACAATCCTGCCATGACTTTTGGTATCGGTGCAATTTTAGCTTTTTGAAATATTTAGCCTTTTCTGACATTTTTTTCACAGAGAAAATGAATTGAGCTCATTTTACATCCCTCCTATCTTTAGATCTGTTTACAACCTTTTACTGCTCCTTTCACATTTTGTTCTGGTTCAGCTTCTTTCAGTTTCCTTATGCAAATTTAAAAAAAATCTGATAATTTCAGCTGTTTTTTTTTTCCAGCTGTTTGTTTCAGCTGTTCCTTCTGCTAACATTTGTGTGCTACTTCTAACTTCTTTCTGCTCCTTTAAGCTTGCTATGCTCCTTGCAGCTTATTTCTGCAAGTTTAAGCTATTTCTGCTATTTCAGCTACTACTTAGCTGTTTATGCTACTTTTATAATTTTCAGCTAACTCCACATTTTTTGCACTCATTTCATTTTTTTTAAACCCAATTCAGCAAAAATGTGCTCTCTCCTATTATTTCTGGTAATTTCAGCTTATTTCTGCCTTTTTTTTAGCTACTTTTCAGCTGTTTTCGCTCATTTTAACTTCCCACCCCACAGGTAATTTCCACTTTTTGTGTTCATTTATGCTTCTTTCAGCCTAACTGGACAAGCACATTCTTTTGTCTATCTTCTGCTAATTTAAGCTTGTTCTACCTTTTCAGCTACATTTTCAGCATTCTTAGCTAATTTCAACTGTTTTCAGATAAATTTAAGTTTTTCATGGTATTTTCTGCTAAGTCTGCCTAATTAACTTTTTATGCTAATTTCAGCTTGTTATGCTCCTTTCAGCTTTTTCTGCCAGTTTCTTTTTTCTGAAATTTCAGCTACTATTTCGCTGTTTTTATGCTAATTTTACCTTTCTCAGCTAATTCCACCTTTTTTTTTTTTTTAGCTCATTTCAGTTTTTTTCTGCTTTCTTCTCATAGTTTAAGCTTCTTTCTGCCTTTCATCTACTTTCAGACATTTTTTTGGATAGTTTCAGCTTTTTTTTAGCTAATTTCCTAAATCTGTGCTAATTTCTGTTTATTTAAAACTATTTCAGCAAATATGTGTTCTTTCTTTCTTCTGCTACTTTGTTCTTTCATCTGAGCTACATTTCAGCATGTTTTTTTTAAAACTAATTTCAGCTATTTCTCAGCAAGTTCTTCTGCAATAAGCATAATGTCTGTGGTTTCTCGTCTTGCACTTGTCAAGTGAAAACTCTAGAAATATGACTCAAATCGCTCTGAACCACATTAATGTCAACACTGTTCATATCGCAGACCTGCTGATGTCCAGTTTTTGTGTGAGGTGGCTGTGTGTATCGATATACAGTAATCAAGTAGTTGACATCCAATCCAAAAAAACCCAACATCTTTCGGGGTACACATTTAGACGAGCAGGTGTAATCCCCACTGTTCAGGTCTGAGCACTTGCAACCAAATCCCCCAGAAAGAAAATAAACTGTGAGGCGTGAACAGGCACTAAATGCTGCACGTGATGCTTCTCAGCTTTATTAAAAGATCAGGTGTTAAACTGAAGGGTAAAAAAAAACGTAGCATTTTTACAAAACGAGCAGACAAAAGAACCCAGTTTTCCCACCAGAAATGCGTCAGTGAAAGAAAATAATCAAATGTACAGTTATGAATGGAAACAACAGGATTAAAATATTTCTTTTGGAAACCTAATCCTATGACTCAGTAGGATCTCAAAAAAACCTGATTGGTGGTGTGTGTGTGTGTGCACATTCCTCTCTGCCTGTTCTGGATCAGATAACATCACTGCCTTCTTCCTTTGACACCTCACTGCTACAAATGATGAGACAGCAGCTGGGACTCACCTGCTGCTGAGCCACTCCAGGGATGTCTTCGCTCACCCCACACACCTCTCTCTGCCTCTGAACGACACGCTCGCTCGTTTATTTTTGCCACTTCCTGTTTGTTTCTTTTGATGGCTGGTAAATGCATCTGTTGTCCCAATGCAGAGGAGCCCAGGGCCGTTCCCCTGTCGACGGCCAACCTGGCAACGACTTTGGCCTCCGCGGAGGAGCTGTGGAGCTCCATCAGAGACCAGGCTGTCAGACTGAGGATAGAGAGCTCAGGTCCAGGCTCAGAGACCCCCGTCACCATCCACCAGATGTTTCTGGAGACGGTGGAGAGATACGGAGATCATCCAGCTTTGGTGTCCAAGAAGGACGGCCGGTGGGAGACCCTGACCTGGAGGCAGTACTACGAGCAGTGCCGAGCAGCAGCTAAAAGTTTCCTCAAGGTGGGTAGATTTTTGGAAATTAACTTACATTACTACATTACCTTGTTTAAATATTGTGTATTCTGTTGCGGATCCTTTTATCTGCCCACGCAGGCAGATTCATCCCTGCTTACACACCAAAACTTTCATGCAATCAATGTGTTTCAGGAGCTTAGAGCAAATAATTAATCTGGTGTTCTGAAGTCAGGTGACTGATTTAACCGGACATTTATCGCCCACCGCTGGACAAGAACTGAGAAATAGCGTCTTCGTCTGAGTGTGGGTGTTTGTCTGCACAGTCAGCAAAATATCTCCTGAACCAAGGGATGGATTAAAAGGAAACCTTTAGAAATTATTCACAGCATTATGACTTAATTACTTTTGGTCGTCACGGCTGATTGACCTTAACCAGCATGGAACTGGTTAGACTTTGTTGAATTTTACAGATATTGAGCTAAAACCTGGTCTGGTTTTTGTCTTTCTCGTATAGATATATTGTGTTATCTGTATATCTATATATCATTTTCACCTAAACAGCTAAAACTCAAACTCTTAATCTAAAATACTGGCTCCTCAAAGGTTTCATAATCTGTTTTTTTTTTTAATGATTGCTTTATTTGTTGTAAATTCTGTTGCTTCTCACGCATTTTCTTTGAACACTTTCTTGGATGACATTCCCTCGGATCAGTCTGGACTTTTCATTATTTCTTCCTCGGTGTTCCTAAACTCCCGCTTCGTGTTCGCTCGTCAGTTCGTCAGAGCGGCTGTTTGCCGTTTCCCCTTCGTGCTCCTTGTGGGTTTGTTGCTTTTGTATCAGTCAGCTCACACGTTTTGATGTCTAATTTATTTTTGTTCGCCGAGTCCTCGGGGTAGTCTGTGTCCTTTGTTCCTTTTCCATAATCAACCTGACAAAAAGAAGAATTCTGGACATTTTAATTGTTCTGAAACGAGTAAAATCACATTACATTTATAAATCTAAACAACGTTACTTTAAAGTTTAAACACGTCAATAAATGAAATTAGTGCCCCATCAGTTTGTTCCTTCTTGTGTTTTAGATCATAATGGTCCATTCTACCTTTACTAAACAGACCGTTTCAGATTCACCTGAGAACTTGTGTGAAATGAATTTTATCTACGTTCCAGGAATTTACACAAATCCTTTAAGTTCTGGTCTTGCTTTGCACTCTGGACTGAAAACTAAAACCTGGGAGTGTGAATTCCACAGCTTGTGTTACGTCTCGTGTTGCGTGGCTTTTGAAACTACATGTTGGTCAAAGCTTCGGTAACTGAGTCACGGTTTAATTGTTATTTTTATTGTTTGCATGTGCAGCTGGGCCTGAAACGTTTCCACGGAGTCGGCATTCTGGGATTCAACTCTCCTGAGTGGTTCATCTCTGACGTGGGCTGCATCTTTGCAGGGTGAGGTCTCGGTCACGCTTCGCTCCTCGTGTGTTTTTCTCGTCTCACCTGTTCATGCAGGTCACTCTGTGTCCGTCTGTGTCGTTCACCCAAACTTGTTTGGGCTGATGTAACTTTTAAACTAAAAGGAAACATATTGGGGGTGACAGAATTTCTTCAGTGCTGTTTAGAAATCAGACACAGAGAACGTGCAGCTTGCAGAACAATTTTCCTTCAAATGCTGGCTGTAGATTTTGTACGTAAATATTGGTGTTTCTATAAATTTCAGTGTTTCCTATCCTGGCATTTAATACAAGTAAATTTTTGCTTCTCATTAATAGTTGGTTTTTACCTTTATCATGAAGGGCAATAACAAAACTCTTAAAATGTGACAACTGAATGTACATCTAAAACTGATATTTGGAGTCGGCACGATTCAAGATGGCCACCACAGTTAATTAAACCTACCAAACACAAAAATACATGCAGATGTTGAGCTTGATGTGGGTGTGGTAGTAACTGAGAGTCATTCCCAACAGACTTCGAGTTCTAACAGATCGCATGAGATCTTTAAAACTTTGGCATGCAAGATGGTGCATGATGTGCTTTTTTTTTTTTCAATAAACACTAGTTTCATTAATAGACAAATGGTTTAAAGGTTCCCTACTCAAATTACACTTTTTCAAAGATTATAATTTGAGGGTAATCCTTCTGTTCATTTGTTGTACAGTAATTCAGGGATTATGTCAAAACGCTTTTAAAACCTATTTAAGTGTTTGGCGTTCCTAACAGTGTTCAGCTTCTCTTTTTCTTACTTTTTTAATTTTACAATAATACACTAACTAATACAATGACACGATTTTATTAATAAAAACGTGTTAAAATTAACATTTTAAGAAGATTAACAGACATGAACATAACTTTTGCTCAGATGAATCAAAGAGTGGGTAATTATGAACCCGTCTGTGTTACAAACAACAAATACTTTAGCAGTAAATCATTCAAACAATGTGCATACTCATGTTTTGTTTGTTTGTTTGTTTACTTGTTTCTAAGGGGCCTGGCAGCTGGCATTTACACGACCAACTCACCTGAAGCCTGTCAGTATGTCGCTGCCAACTGCGAGGCGAACGTCCTGATTGTAGAAAACCAAAAGCAACTCGACAAAATCCTGAAGGTCAGGCGCTTCGTCTCAGCACCGACTCCTAAGCTGTGACTCCTCCGTCACCTGACTGTGAGTCTGTGTCTCCTCCATCAGGTTAAAGAGCGGCTACCTCACCTGGAAGCCATCGTTCAGTATAAAGGCGAGCTGCAGCAGAAAATGCCGTTCCTGTACACGGTATGTAAACACAAATCCCATGTTTTCAAGTCGTGGTAATCTACTGTGCGTGAGCCCTTCAGTGATAACATTCATCTTTTATTACCTTTATTAAATCTGTACTTTAAGGTAATTAAACGCAAACACAAAGCAGCTGTGGCTCAGTTTTGTCTGGAAGAAGAGACGTGGATTTAACGTGAACTCTGCGTGTTTCTGTAGTGGGACGAGTTCATGAAGCTCGGAGACGACGTGCCCAACGAGCAGCTAGATGCTGTGATTGACAGTCTGCGGGCCAACGAGTGCTGCTCGCTCATCTACACATCTGGAACCACTGGAAACCCGAAAGGAGTCATGCTGAGCCATGACAACGTGAGTAACCGGAGGCGCCATCTTTTCAAGATCTGGTAACCTTCCTCTGGCTTTAGGCTGATGTTTGGTGGTGGCTCTGGATTGGTTTAAAAAGTTGTAAAACAAGTCACGACCCTTTGTCTCCTCCATCATCAGATCACCTGGACGGCCCGAACAACATCTGTTATTTTAAACCCAAACCGCGGAGAGGAGATCCTCATCAGTTACCTGCCGCTTAGCCACGTGGCAGCCCAGATGATGGACATCTGGGTCTGCATGAGCTCTGCAGGAACGGTCTACTTCGCAGAGCCAGATGCCCTCAAGGTGAAGACGAGTTTTTATCGTAGAAACACGCAGTCGCTCATCGTGGTCGACTGTTTTTGACTGTTCGGTTTTCCAGGGATCCCTAATAAACACTCTGAAAGAGGTGCATCCAACTGGGTTCCTCGGGGTTCCTCGGGTGTGGGAGAAGATGCACGAAGGGATGAAAGCAGTTGGTGCCAAAGTGTCTCCCCTGAAGAAGAGGATCTCTGACTGGGCCAAGTCCATCGGCCTCCAGTATAACTACAGTGTCATGAAAGGGTGAGTCTGCGCCGGGGACTGTTTGGTAAAACCGATGACGGTCCTTACCTCTGTTGTGCCTTGGTGCTACAGGGAGAACGTGGTGCCATGGGGCTTCATGCTGTCCAACAACCTGGTGTTTAAGAGGGTCCGGGCCAACCTCGGTTTAGACCGCTGCAGGGTTTGCTGCACCGGAGCCGCTCCGATCACCAAAGAAACCCTGAAGTACTTCTTGAGCCTGAACATTCCAGTGAGGGAGCTCTACGGCATGAGCGAAAGCTCCGGACCGCACACCCTCTCCCTCACCGAGTATCGCATCGGAAGGTCAGCAGCAAAGCATTATGGGGCATCTGATACTAGCATGTGGAGTTAACCAGAAGCTGGTTTCATAACCTGCTCTTGGTTAAATACCGTATTTAGGTCTTCAGGTTAAATTATCATCTGAACCAGCTAAAATATTTTATTAAACTCTTGGCAGGTGACTGTTTGAATGACTTTTTCTACAAGCCTATTTCTTCTTACTTACTTCACCATGTAGGTTTTTTTCATATTTTATGCTTCCTGCTGTTTACCATTTATTTGCTGAGTTTGTTCTTAGTGCTGCTGCAGAGGAACTAAAAACATTTCTGATAAAAGGTGTATGGACGATTAAAGCAATAAAATAAATAAAATACAGGGATGGAAGCTGAAAGAAGTGAAAGACCTCTGGTTTGTGTTTGCAGCTGTGGGAAAGTGATGCCCGGCTGCAAGACCAAGCTGGTGGATCCGGATGAGGACGGGAACGGAGAGATTTGTTTCTGGGGTCGTCACGTCTTCATGGGCTACCTGAACATGCCAGACAAAACAGAGGAGTCTCTCGACGAGGAGGGCTGGCTGCGCTCCGGAGACCTGGGCAAACACGATGAGGACGACTTCCTGTACATCACAGGGAGGATCAAAGGTGAGCTGAACCTTTAGGAGAAGTCAACCCTCCTGCTGCCCTTGGGTCAAAATGACTCGCAAGGTCTCAGTTGAGGCTTTGTGGCTCAGAGGTTTATTTATTTGTTTGAACTGTTTTTAGTCTTATTTTCAATTTAATAATTATAAAGAAGGACTTTGGATTTTTCTCTTATGAATTTTATACAAATGTTCTTCAGGTGATTCCAACATTTTCATTGAAGTGTTTTTGTTAGGAGGGACAACGTGGCCCGAAGTGAAACAACTTGTAGAACGTATGCGTCCAGTTTGACGAAAAAGTCTCGGGTTTTCCATCATGTCTTTAGTTTTTGCCTCCGAGGAGCCAAACCTTTGTGTAAAAACATTTAGAACCACCGACTCATGTCATTTTAAAGGATTTTAAACTCTTTGAAAAAAAAAAAACATACAGGAATATTTTACATTTGGACAGTCAAATTATTACAATTGATACTTTTTAATTAGTAATTATTATTACTTGACTATTTTACTAATACTAAATATTATATTAGTAATTACTACTAATATACAAACTATTTCAACGTCCGAAAATAAAATATTACAAAGAGTTCAGAGTTGAATGAAGGAAAAAAAAAAAAAATATATATATATATATATATATTTCAATACAAACACCCAGAAATTAAATGTTTTTCCCTGTTTGTTCAAAGTAAAAGCAAATGGTAGTTTTAAATATTACTGTATGTTTCAAATACAGTAACATAAATACAGTAAATATTATAGTATATACAGCACTTTGGCCAGCAGTGTTGTTTTAAAGTACTTTATAAATAAAGTTGTATTGTATTGCATAAAGTATATATATATATA